ACAAGAAAAGGACGAAGGGAAGAGAAAAAAAAAAGAACGGGATAAAATAAGAAAAGAAAGATTGAAAGAGTAGTAGTAGTAGTAGTCCTTGAAAAATCTAACACGGCGCGCCTTCGAATCAACGAAGCGTGTTTTCGAAAGCTTCGCGGCTTTAAGGGTTGCGCGCCAGCTCAAACGTGTAAAAGAAAAATAGATAAAGAAAGAGAGAGAGAGAGAGGAATAGAAAAAGAATAGGAAAAAGAAAAAATGAAAAGAGACGAGAAGAGAATCTCAGCGAAGTACCTGCCGCGGAATAAGAGGATAATGTGGACTCGATTTGACGTTCCTGAATATTTAATATCCCGCGAAAGCCTTCTCATCGTTCGCTTTTTATGACAGTCCAGACGTTTGCCTTCATTCAAGCGAACCTAACGAAGGATCAAGCTTTCCCCCCTTCCCCTTCCCCCTCACCGCCCCGCCTCTTTTCCCTTCAATCTTCTTCTTCTTCTTCTTCTTTTTCTTTATCATCATCTTCTATTTCTCATGGAAAGAGTACGAAAACACGTTAATCGATTATTTTCAAATAATAATTAAACCACTTTCTAATTTTTTTTCTTTTTTTTCTTCAATGTTTATTAAGTCAACTATCACTGTCACGTTTATTTCTATTAAAAAGGAAGAAAATGAGATTTTATTATTTTTTTTCTATTTTTTTCTATTTTTTTTTTTTTTTTTTTAAGAAAAGACAAAAGAGAAAAAAAAACTGTACTAATGTCGCGCTAGGAAAGCAGGTCGCACGCGTACCATGGCTGCTTGCTGGTGTTAAGAATAAAAAAAGTAAAAAAAAAAAAAACAAGAAAAAAAAAAGGAAAACAGAAGTAGAAGAAAAGAGGAAAAAAGAAAGAAAGAAAGAAAGAAAGAAAGCAAAAGGATTTCGTCTTAACGTCTCTCGAGAATTTATATCCCTCGAAACGTCGCTTCCAGAGAAGAAGAGAGAAAAGATTGGTGAGAAAGAGAGAGAGAGAGAGAGAGAGAACAAGTCCTTTGCTTTTCTTACAGCACACACCTTTTGCCGAGAGATATCAACCTTTTGCCGTTCGCGGGTTTCTCTTTCTCGTAGTATCACCACCCCTTGCTCACCCCCAAGTTCCCCCCTCCCCCTCCCCCTCCTCCCCATCATCCCTTCCTCGTCTTATATTTCAAGCGTTAAACGTCTCTTCCCAGTCGAGAATCATTTCACGCTTTTTACGGCTATTTGCTCTTGTCCACGTGAGTTTTCTTCTGAAACGTGAGAGAAAGAGAAACGAAAGAAACAGAAAAAGAAGAGAAAGGGGGAAAAAAAAAAGAAAAAGAAAAATTCACACGCGTTTCTCGCTAAGAAGCTTCTTCTCGTCCTCGGGTCACGTTGGAAGGAACAGATAAAAGAGGCTCATGCAATTCTAAACTATTTCAAATGAAATGGGATAGAGGCGATGGTCGATGAATTTTGTTGGGTTACTTGCTCGAGTAGACGACTAACAGGACTTCTTTTTTATTTTATCCTTTCCTATTTTCTTCTTCTTTTTCTTCTTCTTTTTTTTTTTTTTATTATTTCTTATTCGTTTTTCTTTCACCTCTTTCGTTTTAATCCCAGCCCTTAAGCAAGGACAAGGAGAATCCTAGAAGGAAAAAGGGGTAAGGTTGCCTTCTATAACAGAAAGAGAGAGAAAGAGGAGGGGAAGGGGAGAGGGTCGTTCTCCTTTGTTCTAAAATTCTTACGACTTCCCTTTCGTGTACCTTCGGGTACACCAACCGAGCCTTTTTCTATCCTCTTCTCCACTTCCTCCATTTCCTTCTCCTTATCCTTTTTGCTTCCATCCTTGAGGCTTGCTGAAGCTAAAGAGACGAAGAAGACGACAAAGGAAGTGGTTTGTACCAAGTGATAATGGTGAGAGAGAGGAGCTTCGTTGCCTCTTATACAAAATCATTCTTCTTTCTTCTTTCTCCTTCCTCCTCCTACCTCCTCCTACCTCCTACCACCTACCTTCTCTTACTCCTCCTTGTTCTCTTCTCTCCTATCATCTTCCTTTTACGTTAGCCAGGGACACTTTGTACCGAACATCCAGGATACCTTGCAACTTTCTTTAGTCACTCGACTCGGCTAACTTTGGGGGTTTTCACATTAGCATATCGACTTATTCATACCACCCTTCTATTTTTTCTCTCTCTCTTTCTTTCTCTTTCTCTTTCTCTTTCCCTTTCTCTCATTCTTCTTCACGAAGCTTCCTTACGTATTCTTTCGTGACAATTTTCTCTTACTTTAATCTTCATTCTTTTTCAATGTTCCTGCTTTTCTTTCTTTCGATGATAGTCGTAGGTGATTCTGCCCTCAGGCGTTTTTCTCAACACCCGGTAGACGATAAGAAAGAACAGGTACGAGAATATCACACGAAGTATCACATTTTTACTTTTTTTTTTTTTTTATTTCTTTCTAAAAAGTTATCTTCAAGCATCTCGATGCATTTCTTTTCTATTTCACGGTTAAATCTAATTTCTAGGAATTTTTTTTTTTTTTTTAGGGTGAATATTATTTTTTCTTTTTTTTTTTTTTTGATAGAATTTTTATTGGTTATATTTCGTATTTTAGATTTATTTAAAAAAAATATATATATATCTGTATATATACCGTGTATAATATCGTAGATAATCGTTGAATGATAATAATATAATAATAATTGTTATTACAATTATTAACTTGTGTTGATTCGTTTCTACAAACATACTTATGATATATACTGATCGCTAATTATTCGTCCAATTATATTCGCAGAAAATTTACTGACATTACTCATTACTATTATATCATTTACATTAACATTAGAAATAAACGAAACTTTCATAATCAACGATCAACATCAGATTAACAAAATATTAATTGAATAAATTGTGAAATGAAATTTTGTTATTTTTCAATGTTATAAAAAAATAATTAAAATAAAATAAATTAATTTAATTACGTTAAATCATACCTGATGAATATAATTTTCTTATCCTGGATAATGTATTTTGAATAATAAACAAATTTACGAAAAAGTTGTTAAAAATAAAATTCCTATAAAAAAAAAAATGATAAAATATAATCTTAAACCTCTTAAATAAATAGAATAATAAAGAAAAAACAAAAATATTAAAAATTATTTCTTTTCTTCGTAAGATTGGCGCGTGTGAATCGCGTGAAAGTTGCGCCAGCAATGGCAACGAGTATCTACTCGGCAGAGTAGCGGCGGCGGCACGAGAATACGAAAACGTTCGAAGTCGTACGAAGGTATCCGAGCGCTGTCGTAGATCTGAACGCGGCAACGCTCGTGCGAGAGTAACAGTCGTGCCGCGGCCTCCAATGAGAGAGGATATTATTGCATCTTATTCGAGGAACTCGCGTTTATCCCGCCATAAGTCTCTCATCTAATCGTTCCTATTATTACGGGTGCATTCAAATTGAATAATAAATAATAATAATAATGTCGTGGTACCGTTAGAAATGCAATATTTTTCGTTATGCAAACGTGGTGTTCGTTTGACGTGAATAAAGTTTGTGGTGTACCGATGGAACGGATGTGACGACAAACATTGCGTCCCTTTGTTATATTTAGTTGTGCCTGTACTCTCTTCCCTAAGTTTTACCAACCTACAATAAATAATAATAAAAATATATAACCAACAAAAAGAAGAATAATATTAATAATAATAATAATAATAATAATAGAAGTATAAAAGCAATAATAAAAGGTGCATAATAGTGTTACTTAATATGGTAACAGTGAAGATAAGAAGAAACCGGAAGTAATAAAATACTATGCAAATTGAAGAAGTGCATTAATCTATTTTAAGATCATCTAAAGTGTTTTCTACGAGAAAGAAAGAAAAATCCTGTTGAGATACCATTTGAAAACTATTTTAATGTCTACCGAAAACTGCGACTTTGTAAAGTGCATATTAAAAAATCTAAATAAATCAAGACGTTTGATCACTCTAGAAAGAATACAGAAAGAGGATCGTTCCTTTGTTCTCGAAGGTACTACCAAAGGTAGTACCAAAGGTAGTACCAAAGGTAATACCAAAGGTAGTACCAAACGCATCAGGACCGTAGGTAATACCAAAGGCAATACCGAAGACGTTCAAGAGAAAGGAATAAAGAGGAAGAGAGGGGATAGAAAGGAAGAAGAAGAAGAACACGCTTGAATTTTCATCTCTCTCTTTTTACTAACAGGTATATACCTTGTGTGTATCCCAAGTGTATTATATCTGTACCAACGTTCAAGATTTTGTGTCACCAACCTAAGAAGAGAAAGAAAGTGAATGAAAGAGAGAGAGAGTGAGAAGAAGAAGAAGAAGAAGAAGAAGAAGAAAGAAAAAAAAAGATAGATAAACATATACACGCGTGTTTTTCATTATATTTCGGTTATTATAGTGCTGCTCGTTTAAACATTTTCCATTTGAAAAGTTCGATATATCACGTGTCATTTGAAAATTCATTTTAATTATCACGAATTTGTATTTGTTCTTTGAAAACGTGTGATTCGTGGGGGGTTTTGTTTTAAGTGAATCAAAAATAACAAAGGAAAAGATAAATGAATCTTTTTCGTTTAATTTTTTAATTCATCCGACATATATATATATATACATACATACATATATATATATATATTGATATAAATTCGTGTGGAATTCGATAAGATTTACAGTGATATCATTTTTGTTTCTTTTCATTTTCGTTACTTACTTATACACGGTACTACCAACGTTTGAAAATAATTTGTGAAAGTTGAGATTTGGGAAAAATAATGCAGAGACGAAGGTTACCGGATACAATGGCGTTCCTGGTTAGGGCAGCTGTTCTAGCAGCTGTCCTGGTGCAAGTTCTACCTAGCGGCTTGGCCAGCAGGCTTTTAGCTGCTGCTCATCCTGGACATGCTTATTTTGAACAACCTTGCTGTGGAAAATCTCATCTGAGGCATCATAAAGGTATGTTTCTTCTTTTTATTTACTATTCTCAATTACATACATTTTATATATGTATATATATATAGTTATCACTAGATTTATGAACTGAGCCAATTTAACTCATTTGAAATTTTGTTATTTACATATCCAATATATAAAATTTAAATAAATATATATATATAAAACTTTAATAAATAATTTTATAAAAATATATGTTAATTTTTAATGCTCTAATAAAATATACCTTAATTCCTTTACTCTACCTACTTCTTTATATAAACAATGTTTTTAAGTTTTTACAAACTTGTGTATAAACATCCGTAAATTTATTGTTATATATATATATAAGTCACTAGGTATACAAACAAAATATATTTATTCATATAAATGTGTGAATGTGTTCTTGTTATAATACAAAATTTATTTATTTCTTATATCTAGATAAATCTGAATGATCGTTTTGACAACATACATGTACACACACAACATATGTAAACACACACACACATATATGGTTTACTTCTAAATTATATCCTTTATTTACTTACTTTTTTTTCTCGTTTTTTTTTTTTTTTTATTATATCGAACGTATTTCACCGAAGGGACATAAACCAAACTCAAACTTGAAAGTAACTCCGTAAATGAAGTATTTTCCTTTTTTTTTTTCTCATCGTCGACAAGAGAGAAAGAGGATAGGGAGAAAGTGGGAGGAGGAGGAGGAGGAGGAGGAGGTGGAAGAGGGTGCTTTGAAAGTTTGCTTAGGGTAAAACTTGTACTTTTTTCCTTTTCTTTTTTTTTTTTTTCGTAACTTTTTGTTAGCTGTTTTTTTTTTTTTTCAAAACTCGTGAAGCGAACACGTGTACACGCGTTGAGTTGACGTGTTCCGCGAGTCCTGCGATCAAAACGGAATTAGAAAGTTGTGATTTTCTTTTAGTGTATATATATATATATATATATATATGTATGTATATATATATGTGTGTGTGTGTGTGAGTATACCTAGTTTGTGATTAAATTAGCCTATATATCATTGTAGGAGGAAGCTTTGAAAAGATATAGAGGAAGAAGAGCATACACGATTTTCTAATCTTGGAAAAAAATATTATTATCAATGTTTGTTTTATTAATGTGATTTTCTTATTATCATTTGCGAATATATTATTTATAGTTATAAATATTTTTTAGATAAAAATTGTTCGACAATAGTGTTTCCATTTATATTTTGTATAATCTCATTTATATATTTAGATATATATATATATATATATATATATATATATATATATATATATATAGTTTCATTATCTAACATATGATTTTTGTTTTTGTTTTCTAACAATNGTCGACCTTTGCTAAACGCTGCTTAATGTTCTCTTTAACGCGATTACGGTGGCACGATTCTGTCGAGTATCAATTGTGATTATTGACTAGTAAAAAAAAAAAAAAAATTAAAATTAATTTCAATAGGAATTATTAATTTCTCTAATATTAAATTAAATTTTTTGCGTTATTTATTTAACGATTAATAAAGGGTCACGTAAGATATTTTGCATTTATTATATATATATATATATATCTGAAATAACAAAATAATTAATTACAATACGTATCATAAATTTTCTGTAATATTAAATAAAACATTTTATTATTATTCATCTAACCACTAATGAAGATTCGCGTAAGACATTTTTATTTATATCTATATATAATATATCTATTATATTAGAGCAATTACAATGATTAATTATCGATCGATCGGTCTCGTGTTTTTCATGATCGGATAATATTTTATCAAACTCTTCTTCAGTTCGTTAGTCGAACAAAATACGATAGATCCCTGCGATCGATACGATCATAATGGATTGCTACTGCTGCTGCTGTTGCTGCTGCCTCTGGGATATTTAGCCGCAACTCTTCCCACCGTATAGCAGCGCGTCAGTCATCGAAAATGGAAAATCAACACGAGGGGAGGGGAGGGGAGGATGGTGATCCTGCGCGCGTGAACGAAATTATCGACGTTCTATCCCCCTTTCTTCTCCACCCACACTTTCTCTCATCCTTTCTCTCTCACTCTTTTTCCATTTTTTTTTCTGTTTTGTTCCGCCCCCACCCCATCCCACCCTCCTCATCTCCCTTTCTCTATTTCTCGATCGCGCGCTCTCGTTTGACGTTTCCGTTTGTGCCGGCTGTCTCATTATATTCATCATATTCATCGACGGTGCATTGATTCACGAAATGCATGTCAATAAAAGTGGGATGCTTTTGTTGAAAAGGAATCGGGCAAAAATCGGATAAACGAATCATATCGGTATCGACGTTTGAACGTTTAAAAGGCCAGACCTTCATTGTAACCAATTTCACTGATTTAATGCTTTATGGTCAATGATCAATTTCTTTTAACAATTGGTACTTGGACAGATCGAAAAATTTGTTTTTATCGTGTTACATGTCTCTCTCTCTCTCTCTCTCTCTCTCTCTCTCTCTCTCTTTAACATTTTTCCTTCGAAATTTTTTTTAAGCAAAAAGGATATTATCAATCTTATCTAAAAATCCTCTGGCTAATATTTCCAGTCATTTCTGTCATCTTTTACAATAAAATACACGACAGATATCGCTCGTTTACAGCGGTCACGTACAACATAAGAAAAGAAAAAGAAAAAGGGATTACTTAATCCTACTAACACGTTTCTCACGTAATACATAGAAAGATTATTTCTTCTATTATCGTCATCCCTTTTTTCCATCGTTTATCTATGAAATTTTTGTTTTCACGCTATTATTATTATTATACGTCGACGTAGTTGATCGTTGGTTGAACCGGGGTCCGATGTATCGGCAGCTGCTACCGTCCTAGTACACGTTGCAGTGTTTAAACGTTTTACCTTTCTCCTTTCCATGACGTTGTTTAAATACCAGTCCAGGTGACCGTAAAACTCTAAAGATATTTCTCACAACAAAAAGAACAAACAAATTAAGAAGAAACTTCGCAATATTTAATGTTAATTAAAATCAATTTCAAAGTATAAATTGAGTCATCAATTTGCACCATTATTCATTTCTTTCAACATTGTTAATTTCGGATGAGTTAGACCTAACACTATGAAACAGTTAGAGGAATGTCTTCTTTGTAATAAACCAGACACATTTTGGCATGTCTGGCAGCAAAATAATTTTGGTTACCCCTAAAAATAGAGAGAGAGAGAGAGAGAGAGAGAGAGAAAGGAATGGATCCAGGTGTCGATATAAGCGTGGAGAGGCTCGTGTTCGTCATCAAAGTGGCTCCCGTGGTTCCACTCTCTACTATCCGTTTACCAAGAGAGATAGAGAGAGAGAGAAAGTGGCGACA